CTGATACAATTCCATATCTGATGTACAGAACCATCAAGAACAACCTGGCTGATCTGAAGGACAACGTGGACGAAACACTTCAAAAGGAATTCAGCAGAATATCAGAAAAGGGTAGGATTCACTTAAAAAAAATTATGAGGTAGATTTCAACAGTAACGCTAATACAAGTCCAAACTGTGTTTCTGCAAAATTGCAGTGGTTTCACTAAAGGAGAGCAGTACCGATGGAAAGAAGCAAGTTAATCCCAGCATTTCTGAGAAGACTAAAGGTATTTTACATGTTTTCAGTGGTTGAAATGTCAACATTGTCTTCTGGGGTGTTGCCTAATGTTGCTAATTTCAAATGTTCAGCAGCAAAACGAACACAGGTTGAGGTACCATTCAACCTAGAACCAAAGACCAGAGCTGACTTTCTTTACTGTGAGTAAAATCACTTCATTGACTATAATATACTTCAGTACTATATCCTTATTTTACTATTATTCTGCACAGTGCTTTGAACACGGGTCAAAAGGTTGCAAGACAAAACAAAACATCAAGACTTAAATCTAAACTTGTTGCAAAACTTCATTTTAAATCGCTTTTTTAAATTTCTAAATTGTAGAATTTTTTTTTAAATATACAAAATCCAATTTAAAGTCTATTTCTTTTACATGTCTTTGCCATATTCTGTAATAAATTAGGAGCTGGGTCTTGGTCTTCAATCTACAATTATATATATACACATGTATGTATACATACATACATGTATATATACACATGTGTATATAAACATGTTTATATATATATACACACATGTGTATATATATATATATATATTTTTTTTTTTCTAATATAAATGCGTCACTTTTCCTTCTTTATTTAGATTACAACGACATAGGCTTCGATCAGAATACAGCCAATCCTTATCTGAGCTTCTCCAACGGTCAGCGAGAGGTGACCACGCATTTAGAGCCTCAGCCTTACCCAGATCACCCAGACCGCTTCACCAGCTGGGCTCAGGTTCTGTGCCGGGCTGGGATGGCCGGACGCTGTTACTGGGAGGTGGAGTGGAGCGGTAAAGGAGGAGTTTCCATCGGCGTGTGCTACAAGAATATCAGCCGGAACAGAGGAGGCAGTGACAGCAAAATCGGACACAACACCAAATCCTGGAGTCTGGACTGCTCTCACTCGATCTGTTCATTTCAGCACAACAAGGAGAGTGTGAGCATCGCAACCCCGAGCAGCAATAGGATTGGTGTTTATCTGGACTTCAGAGGAGGGGCGTTGTCTTTCTACAGTGTTTCCGACACCATGGTTTTACTGCAGAAGATCAAGACCACGTTCAACCAGCCTGTGTACCCGGGGTTTTGGGTGGGATTGGGTTCGACCCTGAAGCTGCGTTCTCTTTAGATTTCCATACGGGCAATTCAAGAGCAGCGCACTATAAAGACTTAATTTTCAATGCAAAGGAAGAAAAACAAAGGTTAGTGCTCAATGCTCAGATTTATTAACCCATGACAGCCTGGAGCAGGTGCAGCACTTTGGACTTTAGATCTTATTGAAGGCAGCTACATCTACACTCTGGACCTGCAGCAGAAGACAAAGAAAGGGACATATCCAATGTAATTGTAACATTATCATTCTTAAGAAATTTATTGTTCACTAACCCCATGTCATTACTAAAATAAAGCCTTAAATGCCACACCAATGTGATTATTTATAATTAAATCAGTTGCTTGACACAACAAATAATACTTACAAAGTCCTCAAACTTGGTGATCTCCTCCTCCAGGATGTCGGTGCCAACTTTGTCATCCTCCACCACACAGTTTATCTGCAGCTTCTTGATGCCGTAGCCAACTGGGACCAGTTTGGACGCTCCCCACAGAAGCCCATCCATCTGCACTGAACGCACGTGCTCCTCCAGTTTACCCATATCGGTCTCATCATCCCACTGGAGACAAAACAAAAATACATTTAAAAAAAATAAAAATAATTATAATAAATGTGGATTTTACAGGACTCTATAGGAGTTTAAAAATTAATTCAATTTAATTTTTACAGCTAATGTTTAGTTTATTTCAGCCAAGATCTGTTTCTAATGAGTGTTACTGCCATTAATTACACCACTAAAGGAAAGACAATTATTGATCCACTTTAGGAGGTTTTAACACGTACAGGTTTAACATCCAACAGGATGGAGGACTTGGCGATGAGGGCAGGTTTCTTGGCTTTCTTGGCAGCGTAGGCTGCCAGACGCTCCTGCTTGAGGCGCTCGGCCGCCTCGTTGTCTTCATCACTGCCAAACAAGTCAATGTCATCATCATCCTCCTCCTCATCATCACCATTTTCTACTTTGGCTGGAGCTGCCTTCACTGGTGTAGCCTGTAGAACACAATACAATAACAGTGAGCTGCTCAGAAGGCAAAGCTGTTGTTCTCCCACTTCTAGAATTGTATGTACGCCTGAAGGGTGGATTAACTGTTGTGGTGTAGCTGCAACCCAAAGGTGTTAAAGTGTTATTTCTGATACAAAACAGGTGAATATCAAGTATCTTGTCTTGAATTTCCCTGAGCTATGAAACTAGACAACTGGACTTTCTCAAGTTTCTCTAAGAGGTATCAGCTCTCTTCCAAACTGAATAAGAATCCTGTCCAGAGAACTCCAGTCCAGTTGTCTCCATCTACTCTACTGAGTATGTAAGTATGACACTAAGGTACATCAGAAAATTTTAAGAGAGTTGTCATAATTTCAAAATATGGTTACAACAGCTTAAACAAATCACAGCCAACATCAAACATTTATCACACGTGAATGGAAATCTGTCAAAATTATTTTAGGTTTTCCAAAGGGATCTGACCCATGCATTTTCCCCAAAACAGAAAAAACTATTTTGAATAAACTGGACTTTAGTCAAGTATCTGTATATTTGTAGCTTGCTGTTCTGTTGTATTTGTTTTTTAACACATACTTTGCAGATTAATACATAAAGAAAAATACCTTAGCACAGGGAACAGCTACTGGTGTGGGGGTCTTCTCCAGCACAGCTACTCTGGTCTCCAGCTTCAGCAGTGCTGCCCTCATATCCTCCACCACTGACAAGAAAATCAGAGTTATTTTGCTCCCAAGCCAAATGGCTAAAAAAAAAACAATAAGAAAAATACCTTTATGCAGGGTCTGGTTCTCCAACTCCAAGCTCTTCATGCGTGAAACCAGCTCGTGGTCTACTGAAGCATGTAAAGATGACTGAGAAAAGACCAAGACAAATGTTATTAGTGCCAAGTGACACTGAAGGGCTAGAAGGGAAAAGAAGAAAAGACCTGACATTGAGGTCTGGGGTGACACAACAAACTGTGATAATTTACAATCAGTGGTGAAAGCCATGCAAGGCAAATAAAAAAAATCCACACAAAATGAATAAAAAAAAACAAAACCCTCCATGCAGCGATTAAGGAATCTTATATTGTGTCTACTTAAAGATCATTATTAGATAAATGAAATTAACATCAATATCATTTTTTTCATACAAAAACAACGTACATACAATAGATTACAGATGGACATTTGGGAAAAGATAAGCTAACTGACTCAATTAAAGTGAAAAAGTCAAAGTGAACTACTAGTCATTGTGACACAGCACACCACTGCACACAGCAAAATGTGACCTCTACATTCTACCCATCACAAAGTGAGCGGGGGGTGGGGGGTAGCTTAACGCAGTATGTGGGGACGGTGCCATGCTCACAGCACCTCAGTGGTAACTTGGCAGCTGGTGGACTCGAACCTGAGACCTTCCAGACCCAAGTCTACTTCCTTAACCACCAAGAGACCACTGCCCCAGAGTGAATGTAGTTTTGATCTAGTAGCAAAACCACAATTGTTTTTTTTTTCAGGTGGGCAGATGTTCACTTTGAAAATGTTCCACTTTCTATATGTCAGTCTGAGTAACCAAAAATAAATAAATAAATAAATAAACTAAAAAAAAATTAATCAGTTCACCCACTTGTTAACCTTGTTATTATGCTTTTCCCATATATCACACTACATCCTTAAATTAATATAAACAGAAATTAAATAATTAGCATCAACTATCACCTTGGATTGTATTTTAATCATAACCAACACTTCACTGGGATTATTTCGACACAGACACACCTGTCAGCAGCTGTGTTTATGACACAGATGAAACAAATACAGGCTGATAATGGTGGCAGTGGACAAGGCTGTGAAAACAGGCCACAGCAGCAGCTGCTACAACAAGCACTAGCAGCTCTCAGCCTGTACACAGCAAAGCTGAAGGACTTACATTTCTGTGCTGCCGTTTGTGCTGGCGCCCTTTGGCCTGCTGCAGGGCCGATTTCACCTGCATCAGGTTGTGTACAATATTACAGAGGAGGGGAGGGGAAAAAACAAAAACAAAGGAAAGAAGACCAGAAAAAGTTTTTTTCAAAGGCAGACCTCATAGCTCCACTTCATACTAGTCATCATTTCTTTTAACATTGTGTGCCAAAAAACAAATACATAATCAGGTATTTACGATTTACTAAACGAGACCCTAATAGGACCACAGTGTAATTATTTGTAAGGGTTATTGGTAAATATATAAAAAATATATAATTTTAATATTATTTGCACCATCTGTAAAATGCAATATTTTGGTTGCATTCTACAGTTTTGATATAACTGGAGTTACAGCAGTGAAAAAAAGAAGCATCGAGAAAACACAGCCAAGAGCTAGCCACCTTCACTGTCTGTAACCACTGAGTCTCACGTACACAAACTCTGGTTTGTACAGTCAAGCCAACACTGATCTGCAGCTCGTTCATAATTTAGTACTTACTCCGTTAAGGGACTGCTGGATATTCTGTCTGGATTTAGCAATGTCCTGCAGGATGGCATTAGCATCTTTGTCCTAAGGCATGTGTGGGTGAAGCAGTGATGAGGCAGCAGTAGTAGGAAAAGACAGAGAAAGGCATGCAGAACAGACAGCAGGATGGCCCACTCAGACCCCCAGCGTACAGGAGGGGCAGTGGTTCAAGTGTTAAATGATCTGAGAGGGGTCTAGCAGACAGATGGCCGACAAAAACTCAAGGTTATCGCCATTTGCTCTAAGATTCCGCAATATTGAAGTTAAACAGGTGTTGGCAGGAGCATGATAAAGGTAGGAGAAAAGGTAAAGGACCAACAGGGCTTCACCATTTTAAATATTGGTGTCCACATACAACTTTAACATGGAAGTAATGCCCTTGATTTACACAATGTGTATTCAAATGTTCACAACTTAACAGAAGGACAGACATCCTGACCTCTCACAGTACCACTGCTATAATCAAGAGGCTTAACTTAGATGCAAACAGCTGCTCTGAGCTGCCAAGCACTGTAGCAATGATGTAACTGAAGCTAAAACCAACAGGCCGCTGAGTGACGGGGACCTGTGCAGCCGTTGGGAGAAAGCGTGAGTTCAGGAGAAGTCACGCAGATAAACAACAAGTAATGGAGAATTTAAAAAAATACTGGAGTAAAAGAGTTTCGATTTTTCTTTTACCTGTTGCTGCTGTGGTGTGGCAGGTCCATTCACTCCCTCGTAGAAACGTCTTTCGGCATCATCAAATCGTTGTTTGTCGAACCAGATGTTGTCTGCGGCGAGGCACTGGAGTCCACTCATTTTGGTGCTGAGGTGAAGAATGACAATGATTTAAGACCATGCAAAAGTCCAATATAACAAATCACTTTTTTAAGTTTACATCAAATCAGAGACGGAATTACGTTTAGGACAATACAGTCACAAACTGAAACATGGGGAAAAGCAGGACAGCGCAGAGGAACAGATATGTACAGCACCACAAGCTCACATAAGAATGTTAAGAACTCCAATATATGGTTTCTGTCACTGATTGTCCTTTAGTACAACGACAAAGCCCAAAATTAAATTAGGGGTATTTATGAGGATAAAAATGTATCAAAGCTGAAAAATATTGACCAACCTTGAAAGCCTTGAAAAAAAGTTTCACACTCATTGGAATTGTAAGAAAGCAGAAACTGATTACCCAGGTCATTGCTAATCTTCCCTCTATTTCAGCAGATAATTAAAATTTTTTTTTTAAATAATTAAAACAAATTATACACAATACATCACAACTGGGAAAAGACAAACAAAAATGCTGACAAAACAACAAATAAAATAATTATGTATTACAAAAAAAAACACACGTTAGATCTCTCTCTCATTCCCTTTCCCATACTTGTCCCATTTGGGCCTGCTTTCAGTCTCAGAGAAGCCTCTCTTCCTCTGGTGTGGCCCCCTGGTGCCTTTTGACCCCTGCTCGGTCTCAGAAGAGGTGCGGTTGCGTCCTCTGCTGGACTGACGGTGAGGGGTTCCAGAGGCCTTCACTGTGGTAACAGCTGGGCCATGGTCCTGCTGCTGAGCATGGCCACGCCTGGAGTTGAAGGTCCAGGAGCCTCTGGTGTTGGGACTCCGTGGAGAGGATGACAGCGGTCCGTTGTTGTTAGACGTCAGCCGACGTTGATAGTTGTTTTCAGCTTGATCATACGAGCTGCGGTTGTACCAGACACCCTCCACCTGCATGGCCTGGACAACGGGGCTTCGACCGTAAGCGTTGTTGGCATCCAAGGAGGAGCTCAGCCATTCCTCTTCAGCACCAGAACTCTGGCTCTCCGACTGGGACAGACGTGTACGTCTCCTCAGCCTCCCAAACTGGATGTTGTCTCCGCTTATGATGCTCCTCTCAAAAGTGGGAGCATTTCCCTGCCTTGAGGCACTGCCTGGAACATGTGGTGGAGGGGGTCCTTTCTCCATTTCTCTATTAAAAGGGTTTGCTTTAAATGCACTCAGAAATCAGATTCAAGTAGAGAACATAAAAGCAACAGGTGGAATGTGTAGCATTAGATTATAGTGAAGAAAAAAAACAAAACATCACCAACAGCCACCATCTGATGCCAATGTGGTCCTTAAAATGACAAAAGTTGATCAAAAGCCATGCTCCTAATGTTAATCTCGATTTACAGAGGTGCAGGTTTAAACTCTACTAGTTCGGACAAGTCAGCACAAACTGACACGTCGAACACAGGACAACATTTGTTTTTTCAGATTTCCCAATTAAATATTGATCAACTTCACATTGGACTTTGAAAAAGCAAAGTCAAAACAACAAGGCAAATCAACACACAAAGAAACAATCTTTAACATCATTAACACAAAAACCTTGAGGAAATATTAAAGATTTAGCTGTTTTGATTGGCAAATAAATACATCTATGGCAAATAAAATAAAAAATAAAATTGTAACATATATTTAAAAAAAAAACTACTTTACTACAAGGCTGTAAAATTAATTGTGACTGTCAAAACACAGAAAACACAGCAGGCCAAAGAGCACAAAGCATTTAATAACATCTTGAATAAAGTAATTAAAAAAATAAACACACACAAACCATTTACAGCAGTAAAGCAAAACTATCTAAAGATGGAGTTAACTCAAAACTGAGGCAAAATATTTTTTGAATAACTAAAAAACTGAGAACAATATTGTAAACTGAGAACAAATGTTCATATTAACTCCCTTAAAAAATTCAAGATAACCTAAATAATTTTACCCAACTGATTTAATATATTTTACTGTATATACAGTATATACAACACCCCCTGGAGGCCGCAAGAGGGAGCTACGTGGTTTCAGTTCAATGACACCACCACCTGAACTTCTGCATTCTTCTATAATTATACAAGCAATTCAAAAACTAACAGCAATAAAATTAATGCATTAGTTTCAAGTGCATCTAAAACAGCCACTACTACAACTCTGTAATAAAACCAAAGCAAGTTGCACGAGATAAGCAAAAGCAGCTCCAGACTTACCTTTTGATTAAAAAGACAGATGTCTAACGTACAACACAAATTAATGCAACATTTAAAAACAAAATACGAGTTTAATATTTCAAACACCACATGGGCAAGAAACACCTGGGTAAATTATACATTTAAGAATATCACAGTGAAGGAGCTGAAAAGAGGCGGATTTACCGCATGTGATATTATTAAAAAGGTTTTGTTTTTACACAGTGGAACAAATGAATAAATTGTGAGCAAAAGCCGTTTTAAAAACCTTGATCAAGTGGAGCTTTAACGTCAACAATCAGGTAAAAAGTGACCAAGTTTTTTGACATGACAGCCCACCTCCAACTTTTAGTTGAGCACGTGGCGGTGAAAATGTAAACTTATAAAAACCGCTCAAACTTCGTCTACAAGCAGTTACACTAATTGTATTGTCATACAGTCAGAAAATAAAAGTTATGGCTTCTTACTGTTGGTTTATTTCGACGTTTTTCGACCTTGTGTCCTTTCTTTGGCGTGCTGCCTCACCGTACTCCGAAGGCAGAAGAGAACTGGCATTAGCGGGTCGTGTTCATTCTCTGCTGGCGGAGGGGTGTCACGATACCTTCTAGGCTCCTAAATGGATTATTTTTGCCGTACTAAATACATAAAATATACAATATACATCCTTATAATAATATATTTACACAATATTTAATCTTTTTAGCTAAAATACTTAAAAATATTTGTATAAACGCGTGTTGACGTTGCACCTTAAGAATGGTATGGTCCGCTCAAATGAGGACTTCATGTCCCATGACCACTGAGTAAACTGTAGTTGTTGAAGCTGTTCAGCGATCTTTTCGGATATTAATCTGTACATGTGATATAACCTGATAATCTTAGTTTTTTTCACATAAAAAGAATATCCAATAAAAAATACAGTATAAACAGTATATATGTATTTATTAATGTTGGCGATACTGGGTCATAGTTGTTGTTTCTGCTTATTTTTGCAGTTTATGTGATTTATTTGATGCTTTTTCTTTGAAATAGAATTACTATAATTCTATAATTCTATTATATAACTTTTATAATAATTGTAAATATTATTATAATAATTATAATACTAATAATTATTATATTAATATGATATAAGTATGCATTTATGTTGATTTCTAATTATTTTGAAAATAGTAAATAAAATGATTAATTAATACTGGTGACAATTACTTAGTTTTCTTTAATTGTTATGTCACTGCAGTAATACACAGCCTGAAATAAGAATTCCTCTCCTCGAAGCTTTGTCCCAGTTTTTTTTAGTCTGTCTACCTCAAAGCCAAAACATCCTTGATGCTGCTCAGGTATAAAATTAGAATCTGGCCCATAAACAAAGGCATTGACTGAACACGGCCAGGCTGAGTTGTCAAAGCCAATTTAGTTTTTGAACCGTTAACATAAAGAAAATAAGGTGTAAGGATATTGATTGTTTGGTTGTTTTTTTTAAAGAAATAACATTAGACACGGACTGCATGGTATGCAACTTTCATATGTGTTAGCCATGGTGCAACTGTTTCTAATGTTTAAGAGATAGAACCTCAGCCAAGTTTGGTATTAATAATGTAACTTGGCATTATGGATATTATCTTTGGTAGTAGTAAATTCTGTGTAATACTTGTCTTACATTTTGAAGACTCTGTGCTCCATAAAATTGAATCCCTAGATCACACAGGCTATAACAGCCTTATTTAAATGCAAACAAGCAGTGTGTTTGAGAAAGTGAGCCATTAGCACACAGACATCAATCGCAGTTTGCAAAGCTTTTGTTAAAAAGTGACATTGAATGGAAAGACCATACTGCAGTACTGACATCCTGAATAACATCCTGGAAAATGTTTGTTTTAAAAATATTTCTCACACACGGATAGAAATTAGTGTTTGGTCCAGGGGAAAATAACTTTTAATTATCTAAAATTAAAGCTCAAGTTAGAGGAAGAAAATATGATGATTATTTTTATCACATGAATCTTTTTGTAGGAAAAAACTCAGTTGAGCAATTCCTGCCATACTACTTCCTGCCAGACCACTATTTGATAACTTGAGGGTTGATTAAAAATATAATACAACAGAGCAATACTGCATTATTTAAATCGAAAAACTACAACAAACTAATCCCACAAAGCCAATAGATATACTCTGTTGCATAATTTAAAAAACAACAAAACAAAACATTTGATTTGTACAAGTTTTTTAAATAAAGCTGCACAGGCAGGAAGACAAGCAGACAGAGAAATGATAGTGTCAAGAGAGAAAGATGCAGAGATGATAGAAAGAGATAGCAAGAGAGAAAGAGAGAGAGCGAGAGAGAGAGAGAGAGATGTGTATATACCACTGCTGCCATCCACACAACCTTCATTCCATCCTGAGGCTGTGAAGTCGAAGCCACCTCTGAAGAAACCAAGGGAAACCCATATCTATCCAGTGTTGGACGGAAATGAAGTGGACTGATAAGAAAGTGGAAATGTGTTTTAAGAATCTGCTGGGACCAGGGCAGAAATTAATTCTTCTGATCTATTTTGTCCATCTGTGGCACCGACCTGTGGTGAGTGTTTATTCATTTCAGTAAGGCTGTGCAGATCTGCACATCTAGGACAAACTATGAGGCAGAAGCAGTGACTAACAGCAGTAAGATATGTCAAAAGATATTTTCATTTGTAGTTTGAAGAATATCTATTTACAGAGCGTCTTCCTAATTACATCAGGATCATTAGTAGGCATCCTTCAATGGCTTTCTTGGCACACACAGTAGACATTTTCCAATAATTTCCTCATTACTACTGGAGCTGATTGGTCGTGAGATTTGTCAGCATCCCATCATGATGAAATATTAAAGACAGGTTTGTCAGTGCTCGTAGGCACCGGTTTGCTGAACTCCAGCAGGTTTAAAAAATTCAGATAGCTTTAGGGAAACTGGCGGTTAATGTCATTACTGCCTGTGTGTGTCACTGCCACTGCCTTCTCGTGTCTCCTTGACAAATGGTTTGGTTTGGTCCCCACCCCTCCATCCCTGCTGTTGTCAAACAAAGTCAACCAAACTTGAATGTTTCCTGATTTTTTCTTCATTCCTGACTTTCTTTTTCTCCTGTTTTAGGCTGAGGCCATTCACCCAGACTGTGCCATTATATCCCAGCACCTGAGGGCTCGGGACAACTGCAGTCAGATGAGGAGGAGTGAGAGTCAGAACCACAGCCACCACACTGGTGAGTTCACGGGTCGTGATGCTGTGCAGAAACAGACATTACAAGATGGGAATAATGGCACCAGCAAAAAAAGTGTTACACACCGTTACAACAACAAGAAAGGACGCCACCAGGCTGGCCATCCAGTTGGCTACTCCCCTAAAGATTCTTTCAAAAAAAAAGTTAAAACAACAGCTGATGTGAAGGGAACCAAACCAAGTAGAAACAGTCTTGACTTTGAGGTCTATATGATGTTTATAATAGCAAACAGTCGAGAAATGAAATAAAATATTAAATGGGCGTTTGATGAGTTAAACATTAAAACCAGTGTAAATGCTCTGTGGCTAAAAGGTTCCAGACAGTGTAGACCTTTAACAGACTATTGGCCATTTCAACCAACCAGCCAATAACAATTACATTAACTGAACGCTGCTTCTCTCCTCAGACTGCGTGTCCTGGGATGTATCTGTTCTCTGTTTGACTGTGACCTTTTAGTGCCCTGCTGCTCTCCATCGGTCACTGTTCATTCATCTGATGCAAACCAAGACTTAACTTCATGTCTGAGCTCTGTTTACATATATGCACCAATATATTATATATTTCTAATTTATATAGTCCTCCAGCCAGGTATATCTATAATTCTTTTTTCGGTTGACGCAGCTGGAAACATAACTCCCTTTGTCCCCAGGGATCAAGAAAGTTTGTCTTATGCTGATTCAGAAGAAGTGTGATGAAATAAACAACGGCCTCAGCAGAAACAGTCACTGACATCCTACTGAGTGAATCGGAAGAATCCTAATTTTAGCTACAGAAAAATGTGTCAGTAAAATCACTTCAGGCCTTTTAATTTTTTTTTTTTTTTTAACTTTCTGGAAACTTGAGTGAGACTGAGAAGTTTTAACTTCTTTTTCCAGAGAAGAACATTTTTCTCACTTTACCCTTTGGCACAATTACCAGAAAAATGTAATGAATCCATTGCTTTTCTCTTTTTCTATGGAGAATTATTACATCCTTCCATTTGTCATCAGGTCTCTCTGTCTTCTGTATCAGGAAACAGAACAGAATAACAATGATGTGGAAACTCACAAGCGCAGGACAGACAGAAGACATCTCTGCTGTGTGTTTTTACATGAAACACTTTGACACCAGTCTATCCACAGAAACATGACAGGAAGGAATTAGTTCCACTGGACTTTAGTGTAAAGAAATGTCATCTTAACCAAATTTATATGGTCCACACGGAGAGTATTTTCTGTTATGTCACATGATAAGAACCATGTATCTACATTATCAGTTTGAGTTTAGTCAAGCAAGATGCTGATTTGACGTTTTATTTTCTGACATATTTGAAAAATGCTGTTTTTGTACTTTTCCTTTTACTTTAGGGTGCAAAACAGAATGGGACGAGATTGGCTGTTGGCTGAGAGCTGAAGTCGGGCAGGTGCTCAACGTATCCTGCTCTGAAGTTTTTCACCATTTCTCCAGCACTCAAGGTCTGTCGCTGCCCACTTAGACGATACACAAAAAATATATAATAAAACAATCCTCATATAAATAACACGTATTCTTAATAATACATTGTAAAAACCAGTCATATACTCTAAGAATGCTGTGGGATATATCAAAGTGGAAAAAGAAAATTCTCAACAGTCATAGGATGAGCCAGCACTTCGGATTGATTTAAATATTAATGAGGCAAGTGCTTAAAAGTGCTGGTGTTAGAGAAGTCTCTATGTCACCGTCTAATATCCTCATAATAAAGTTCAAATCAATAAACCTTTTTTTCTCAGATTTATTTTTAGTTTATCATTACCTAAATTTTACAGTGGTGTGCATATACTTTTCATCTTCTTTGCTCTGTAGTGGTTGCTGATTAGTTCCTGGGCACTGGAGCATTTTTTATGTCAAGCTAATAATTATGTCATAAAATGACCCTATGGAAAAAAACAACAACATATTTTGCTGCTGTTGCAGGTTCATGCTGGCCACTTAACAATATTAAACCAGTAACTACCACTCTCATAATTAAATCTATGATGATCACACATCACTTTCTATATTTAACATTCAGGTTCAGCTATTAAAAAAATAACTTAAATGTCAAGGAAAAATCAACCAATGAGAACATCCAATTTAATTATCTATGGTTTTAAATGTAACCTTGAGGGTAATGTAATATACAGACAAGATCAACAGAGGAACAAGCTGTGCTGTGATGGATGATGTCATCGTAACAGGGTCATTAAGAGAGAGTAAGGTTAGAAACATTTTGTAATAATTGCTTCTTTTGCAAAGCCTGATGGGAATCCTGGCTCATTATGGCCTTAAATGTAGATCAGCCAGCAGCCATCAGGGGCAGCTGACAGGGTTCAAACTCTGAACATTCCTGTTTGCTCAGCTCAAAGGCCTCAGAGAAAAGTCCCTGTTGAGCATTTTTCATTCTTTGTCCAAACAATTGTACCACAGTATGACTACAGCCTGCATGTATCACGGAGAACATGTGACTTTAACTGTCCCAAAGACAGAGGAGGACAGCTGTCTCCTGACACCTGCTGTTCACAAACACACAGAGGAGAATCAGGAGTAATGGGGAAAATGTTCAATAAAGGAAATGGATAGTAAGGAAAGATAATTTCCTGTCATGTCTATAAAAATATTTCTATCTGAGCTTATGTGTGGATGATTTTAACAGTCTTCAATACTTCCCAAAACTCTCAGAATACGTCAAACAATAACAACAGTGTGATGTGAGAAATCTAACATATATACACATACTGTATATATATAGATTTTAATAATTAAAGAACGCTTCATTTTTTTCAGGTAAACACACTTTTAGACCACTCTAAACAGGAAATAGAAATGATCAAATTCTGCCTTATTTAATATTTTCCCCTAAGGTGTAGTGGTAACTGTCCTGGGCCGGTGCCTTAGGTCGGTGTGTTTACTGAAAAAACAAACAAACAAAAAAAAAAAAAACGGTTAAACCGATAAAATTGCACCTTAAATATAAATGTCTCTCTGAGGAATTTTCAAAACGTGTCATGTTTATCTCTCTGCTGTTGACACCTGCCTCAGGCTATGTTTACAGGAATTGCACTGCCGACGGCTGGTCGGAAATGTATCCACCGTATGAGGACGCCTGTGCCTTCAGTGATGACAGCGGCCCTGATGCTGAGGTACACCTCATGCCCCCTCTCTGTAAGGGCTGGTTTTACATCAAGACACAGAGATGTGTTTACGTTTTGCCAACAACAGCACACTGGACTCATCGTGTACAATAGAAGAAAATGACTGTTTTGACAAAGGTTGTGGGTTTGAGTCCCACCCAAATCCAAAATGTAATGTTTATGTGTTTTTCTCTCTGCATCCACAGACAAACTACCTCTCTATGTTCAGGCAGGTTTACAGTGTGGGCTACGCCACTTCGCTGATCTCCCTCATTACAGCCATAGTCGTTTTGACAGCATTCAGGTACGATAGTGAAGATGACGTACATTTGAACCCAACCGACAACCAAAATATTCAAATGTTTAGTTCAGTAAAAACTTGTAGGATTTTAAAAAGAAGAATTGTCAGTTTGTACAGCATATATTTATCCAAACTTGAGGTTCATTAACAAAGATTAGCTTTTTGCCTCTTCCCATTTGTTTCGCCCTGGGCTTCCAGAAAGTTCCGTTGCACCAGAAACTACATCCACATCAACCTGTTCTCCTCCTTCATCCTAAGAGCCAGTGCAGTTTTCATCAAAGACGCGGTGCTGTTTGCTGATGAGACGTTGGACCATTGCTTTATGTCCACAGTGAGACTCAAGTGATGAATTATCTGCTGTTTAATCACAAATATTCAATATTTAAGTCCAGTTATTGTTTTTTTCTCGTGATACCGCAATGAAACCCGAAGTCTGAATTCAAATTTTAAGATTTGTGAGGATAGCCGACAACAATCTCTGTTTCTTTGTGTCCTTTTCTAGACAGCCTGCAAGTCAGCCGTGGCTTTCTTCCAGTTCAGTATTCTTGCAAATTACTTCTGGCTGCTGGTGGAGGGCATGTATCTGCAGACGCTGCTCGCCCTGACATTTGTCTCCCAGAGGAAATACTTCTGGTGGTACATCCTGATTGGATGGGGTGAGTGAGGAGATAAATAAATAGATAGAGATAAAACAAAACACTCAAATGAACAACTGCTTATAAAGTACGTGTCGAGTAGACATTTTCACAAGTCCATAAAAAAGCCAACAGGAAAGAAAGGATAAATAGATCACAAGGACCCAGGCTAACAGTGTAAAAGACAGACAACCAGAACCAGGACGTGTTGAAGAAAGGTCACAGGTTCTGGACAAGCCATGACAATGAAGGACATTCTATTCTATTCTAAACTCTCCTCCATCACATTGTAGTATAATAGTATATGTGAAGAGAGTAATTGCTCAATGGCAATTCTATTTGCACTTTTAAAACGGTTCCAAATTAGCACCCCCATCGGTAATGAAGTGGTAAATGACAGATTTATGTTCTGCTGTTGCAGGGATGCCTTCAACCATCCTCATTGGATGGGTGTTAACGAGATTCTTTTACGATGACAGAGGGTGAGATGCATGTCATTAGTACTGCAAATACCACATAAAAATTCTGTTAATTCTAATTAATGTGTGTCTGAAGAGCCAGGACTTTGTGGTACTTTAATGGCTGGTACTTTCATGTGTTGAAGATGATTGTAAGTCAGTTTTTATCTTGGCTGTGACTGCAGTTGCTGGGACGACACGGACAGCGTTGGGATTTGGTGGATTATTAAAGGACCAATCACAGTCTCACTGCTGGTGAGTGGAAAAGTGAGAAATTAAGATTTTAAAATCTGGCCAGTTTATGGACAGCCAATAAACCTGTAGGTTTGTTTGGCAGCTTCACCTTTTAGCAGGTTTTCAATTAGATTTTCTGAAATATCTTTTAAACAGCTGTGCCTTTAATTAACTCTTAATTAAATCCCCCCCAGGTCAACATAGTCATTTTCATCAATGTGATCAGGATTCTGGTGCAGAAGCTGAAGTCTTCAGCCATGACCAGCAACAATGACACTGGGCATTTTATGTAAGTCATAAAGAAACATTTTAAATAACCTTATTGGTTATGTGGTATTTTCGACCACATAAGGAATTCATGAATTAAAAGAATATATGAGCTTCACAGTGACAAGGAATGTCAAACTGTTTTCATATTTTTTCTAAAAGGAAAGCATGGATTTGCTGTGATGTCAAAAATGTATTGTATGAAAAAAGTCTTTTGTTTTTACTTGAGTGACTTTTACACAGTCAGCAAGAAAATATGAAAACAACAACAAACCACTAACAACGTGAATATGTTGACAATGGAGCAGCACAAAAATAGCATCTGACACCAGAAATAGAATCTGCCTTTAAACACAGTGGGAGAGCATTGGATGTCTGCCTGATTAATGAAGACACTGTGCGGTGACCTCTCTGACCTTTCTGGTCATCTCAGATCCAAAACAAAATGTACATGTTTCCGGCTTGAAGTTACGTCATTATAATGTTTCTCAGTTAACGTAAATACTGCATTTTTTAACTTCAGAGTTTAAAGGACAACTACTGTCAGTACAGTATGTTACTATTTTCCCACATCCGTAGGAGACTGGCTAAATCCACACTGTTCCTCATCCCTCTGTTTGGGATGCACTACACTGTGTTTGCCTTCCTGCCTGAGAACACGGGTGTGATGGCCAGACTTTACATCGAACTGGGACTGGGATCTTTCCAGGTAAAACCACAGCAGTAAGGAGTCTACAGACATGGAAATAACTCCATGAACATGCATTACCTGTCGATGCAAGGTTTTACTGTAAACTGTATTTCAGAGGTAATGATTTCATTTCATTACAGGAATCAAATCTCTTAGAAACATATAAAGAACTATATAAATATTTACATTTGGATTTTATTATTATTAGATTATTATTTGTATTTTTTATAATATGACACATATTACATGTTTAATGACCAATTGTTAGATGCATAAATGTAGTTTTATACCTGCTACAAAAATTCACATTTCTACTAAATTAAGTGAAAATAAATCAACATAAATTTGTATTTTTTTTCTTCAAATTTTTGACTGCAACCATTTCTCCCTCTTGTGTTACAGGGGTTTGTTGTGGCCCTGCTTTACTGCTTCATGAATGGAGAGGTAATAAATAATACAAAAAATAATGCAATGCTAAAACTTGCTTCTAAATCCTCTTCATAGAACATGTTGGGAAGGCAGAGATGAAGTGTGTTTATACAGTAATAACATGTAGTAAAAGGTGATGAGAACTCATTTCCACATCAAGAATCATGCTCTCTTTTCTGGGTGGTTCTGACCTGTCTTTTTTTATAGGTCCAAACAGAGCTGAAGAAGTGGCTCTGGAACTGTCACAATCAAAGTTATTTGTCTCCAGCTAAAAGAAGCATCACTCACAATACAAGCCAACAAAGACTTCAGAAGACCTCCCTCTAGTGGCAATGTCTCGTCATTATGATTTAACAGACAATTGAGTTATAAAATCAGTACAGTATAATGGAAGAGAGAAAATCTAACAACGTACAGTACTTCAGAGTGACTCAAACAACGTGTCAGCATGCAGCAACACCTCGCCTGTTAAAACCTATTGTTAAGATAATGAAGCTGTGTTTCTTAACTGAAACACTATGGCCTTAGAAATGATCAACATGACGCAGTGACGTAGCGACGCAGTGGAGAAGAAAATCACCAAAAAGTGAAGTTTACAGTGTAAATAATCAGCAACTGCGCTGTACTGCAGTCAAAGTCGACCTTTCACCTCAAATCGAAGGAGCTTCTCCAGTGTTGATGCTCAGACTTTTAACATGGGGTCTGATTGAATTCCAGTTAAGTGCAAGACTTTCTTTTTCTTTTTTTTTGCCAGATTTGAGACTGAATTCCAGATAGACCTAGTCTGCACTTATTCGGGGTACATTGTGATTGTGTGAGGGGTGAGGGCTGAGGAAGCAAATCTGTAGTATGTGTGTAAGGAGTATATAATGCAAAGTACACCTTCTTTTGATGTACATTTTAGCTCAAGTTATTCATGTATGCACTTATTCTGGAAAAAAGACTTGTTTTTGTTTTTTTCTTAAATGGCATTTCAATCAAACCATTGACCTTCCTTTAAGACAACCAATTACAGGGGCACATAATTGTTGATAACTATAAAAGTACTTCCTCCACTAGACTAATAGTATATGATTTAAACAGGATCAACATTGACATCACAAAATGACCCTCTAGTCCTGCACAACAACTTGCCACAGATAGATTTATTTATTTTTTTCTTCTTTCAAATATACACCAAGTGGGACATGAATGTTGGACACCACCTTAACACACGACGCACTGTCACGGTTGAAGCAAACGGATGAAACTTTACACTGTCACATTTAAATTAGCCTACTTACAGTGTTTCACATGCGCACAGAGCACTGTCTTCCCAGCTTTAACACACACCCACACACACACACACACACTCGCACTGTGAACTGCTACGTGAACATTTACAAAAACTAGGTCACAAACATCACAGGCCTTCATCAAGAGGTTCTCCTGTGTACCAAAAATATACAGTGTATTGTTATGTAGATATATATATTTATATTCAGGAAAAAGACATCATTTGTACACCATGGCAAAGTCACAGCAGGCAGAGTTTCAGAGCAGCTGAGCAACAATGGTACATTCAAATATTCATTTGCAATTCAGAGTAAATTGTAGTATAATTGTACTACAAACTTAACACCAAACAAATAAATTGGCTCAAGAAGCAAACATGTGAAAGAAATGGCATTTACACACAGAGAATACTCACATTTAGGAAAAAAAGTAATAACATGAGCAGCTGGTAAATATGTTCAAATACAAATGAGAGCTTCAAGAACAACGGGCATAAGGGAACCAGCTTGAATTTTAGTGACTTTTAATGAAAGATAAGGGAAATAAACCCTAGAGCTGAAGAATATCTGAGACGAGTACATTTTAAATTATAGCCACAGAATATTTTGCAGGTTTAACATTGGCAGTAACTCTATAATATACTCCTGTTTACTTCAATTTAGAAGTAGAACCTGTAGCCAGCATTTTAAAAGAAACTGCAGTTTCTGCAGAGTCAAACGAGCAATTAAAGAATTCAAATTAATTTTCAAGACAACCCACGCCCCCCCCCCAAAAAAGTCACAACCAAATCACTAGTTAAAGTGCTTAACTGCTTTTCAGAATAACGTATATGCTTCTCTGCAAACACTTTTTTTGTTTTTTGAGCAAAATCACAAACCATGTAGGTTACTGAAGCTGTGCTGATACCTTGTGGTCCACACATGTACAGCAAGACACGGTCACATTAGGAGTTTTTTTTAGTCCTCTTTAATCAAAGAGGGAAAAAAACTGTAACAGCTTTGAGACATGGTCGTTTCCATCTGAGTCGAGTTCAGACTCAGAGTGACAGCTGGTGATACAAGACCTGAGCAGCAGCAAAACACAAGTGTGTCTTTAACTGCTACTAACCTCCACCTACTCAGGTATGTTTCTCATTAAAAAAACAACAACACATTTATCTTACCATACATCCTAATAAACTTTGAGATAACTATTTCAGTTTAATGTTTTTTTTGTTTGTTTGTTTGTTTGTTTGTTTTTTTCAGAATAAAAGACTGTGCTACACATCCCTCTCCGTCACCTGGTATGGCACTACATTTGACCCAGAAGGTCGACGCTATTGAAATTGCACAATTAGAACACAGTGAATACGTGAGTACTGTACATCGGATCATTTCATGAAAGTACTGGAAAATAAATATACATCACTATATATACGTATATATATGTCACAAAGTCACCAGTTCATTGTTTAACCTCACTACAATCTTGATGATGATACAAAAAATAAATATCTTGGATAAATAAGGAGGAAACAACACATCTGGCACCCTTCATTTTGCAGTTTTGCAGTCATATATTATTATACCCTAATAATCTCATCACCCGTACTATTATTGTTTCGTTTGTTTTGTTTGTGCACACACCGAAGAGCAGAATCAGCAAATTGACAAAAAAAAAAAAACCCAAAACAACAAAAAACAAACAAAACAGGGATTGTCAAGAGCTGTCACATTAAAGCATCGTCATCTCAGTGTTGAACCTGTTAACTCAAGTGCTAAAGTGAGATGAAACGCAAAAGAAAAAGAAAAAAAAGGAATATATATATATAAATGACAGAGACTCGTGTAAAATGTGTAGCTAAAATAAAACAACAGGACTTTACATTTTTATGTAAAAACACACACAGAGCTGCGTACATTCATAATCAGACTGAAGGCTGTGATTTCTCTATGGATAAACGTAGTGGCGGTTCCTCACTAACTAGGCACTTTGGAACACGAGAGGGAGACGCTTCATCTCCACGTCTAGAATGAGGAGCGGTTGAACACGACACAACGGCTTCAAAACAATCCCATCATACTGAAGAGAAGAGAAGAGCGCGGAGAGGCTCTGATTATCACTAGCCTACGAATACACACCGCTGACGTCGACACAACTGCTACACGTACTAGTATTTACTACATGGCACATACACCGTTTAAATTCACAGTCATGACGAAGTCTGAAGAGTACATTTTTTTAAGACCTGTGTCGCAACATCAGGATATAGTTTATACCGATGCCTTTTACATTCTTTTTGTTTTTTGTTTTGTTAATTCCCTCTTTGCACTGAATACCGTCTTTAATATGAGGATTTTTCTGAGGCCAAAGTACTTGACGTTTCACAGTAATGTCATGGAGTAAATATGTCACCCAAATGAATTAATCTCCTATCTGTCAGTGTGTTTGACAGAATGTTTCCTTGTAAAGAAGTGCTATTTGAAACTATTTTTTTTTAAGTAGAGGGAGAGAGAGATGGGTGAGAGGGGGGAGAGGGATAGAGAGCTTGGGCAGGATACCTTCTCTGAAAATCTACAGATTTGGACTCCAGTTCCTTTTGTTTGAAAAGGTCGTTACAATACTGTGTATCACAAACAGGAAAGAAACAAAATAACTAATAAATGCAGATCTAGTCACTAAAACTAACTATTTACAAAGTTCATAAGTTGTTTAAATTTCTATTTTGACATACTCTGTACGCTATGGCTCATTGTTGAAAAAAAAAATAAGATGAAACTTTTTTTTTAACCATGAGCATTTGTACAAGCAAGGCTAACATTTGGCTGACATGTTTTTTGTTTGTTTGTTTGTTTTTTTAACTTTGGATTGTTTTGAAAATAGATCCAGTCTGGCATCACGTATGGCACTTTAAATCACACACATTTTACACCAACAGCCAAATATGACCCCACAATTTAAATTACGCTTATTATTATTTTTTCAGCATTTAGCATTTCTCCTGGCACATTTTAAATATTAATAAATAAACAAAAACAACCAAAATACTAGCAGAAATGTCAGAATCCACTTCTTCCCTTTCTGTTTAGACGAGGTCGGATTCATATTGTGGTTGTTGAAAAAATACGACTTTTATCATTTGATACAAAAGTCAAAGACTTATATCCAACTCTAAAGTTAAATTATGCATTAATTATATTTGTTTATATTAAATATATCCAACTATAGTTGAAATATTAATAAAAAAGTTGAAATTATGAAATGAACCATGTAACCTCAGAACAATTTAGTAAATACATTTAGAAATACTGCCATTTTTTAATTTAAAAGATTAGGGGCCACTTTGGTCTGTTGTGATTGGTCAGGATGTACATTAGTGGAACGGCACCTCAGCATTAACTCCGTCTGGTCAGACGCTCAGGTCGGGAGGCTGATGTTGGCGTTCTCCGCCAGTGGGCTGGACATGCGTATCTGGGAGCTGCTCTTGCTGAGGATGGACAACTGAGTCCCGCCGTTCACACCACTGCTGGCCAACGAAGGATGCCTCTGCTGCTTCAGGTCCACAGCAAAGTACCGGTTCACGGTCCAGCTGCGCCATTTCCTCTTGATCTCTGACTGCACCTTCAGGGAGAAACTTCACAAGGTCAATTTTAATGTACTTTAGGCTGTAGCTGCTCCATGAAAAGGTACAATGCACTAAAGATCGGCGAGGAAGGCAAACTGGTTCACCTGTAGTGGAGTGATTCCAACTTTTTATTTTCACTAATTATTATCGCAGAGAAGTTATTGTAATGACAAACGAATAAATGTAAGCAGAAATTGCAGGACCTCAGGAAATGAAAGAATAGAGGAAATAAACAAAACAATTAAGCAGTGTGAAAAGGGTCAAAAAACAAGTTCCAGGAGTCGTGAGCCGCATTTGCTTCTGGTGCACATCTGCTGGTTAATTGAGCAACAGTGACATTTACAGTAAGTAATCCTCGCATTTATACAGTAAATCGTGTGTGTCCGTACATATAGTGTGTCTGTACATGTGTATATAGTATATATGTGTGTATATATATATGTGTGTGTGTGTGTTTAAATACAGTATATATAGTAAATAGCATGTGGGTCTGTTTTGGCAGCTTACCTCTCCATTGAGGAAACAGTAAAGAACTGCTACCACAAAGCCCTGAAGGAGAATAAAAAATTATACTGGCTTAAAAAAAAAAACACATTCAAATTTAAAAGACTAGTTTGTTGGGGGTTTTTTTTGTTTGTTTTACCTGGAATGATCCCAGTCCCAGTTCAAAAACCAGCCTCTCCCTCTTGCTGACGTCTTCAGGTGAAAAGGCGAACACAGTGTAGTGAATTCCAAAGAGAGGAATGAGCAGGAGGGTGGAGCGAGCCAGACGCCTGTGTGCACACATACACACATCACACGACTTAGGAGATGTGGTAAAATCTCTGGATTTAAAATAATCACCTTAACGATGATGATAATAGATAGGTGAGTGTTATCCCAAAGATTACGAGTTAGTGTTCAATCAGTTAAAAGTTACCAAAGAATAGTGACAGATCACCTGAATAGAAAAATCATATGAGATTTATTTTATTTCAAATGCTCATAAAAAAATCTCACAGTTGCAAAACAAATGCCTGTTTTGGTTAAATTAATCCCTCTGTAAATTTGAAGTCAGATCTGAGCTGAAGAGACTAGAACTGTTGGTGCTTCAAACGTTCAACAGACGCTAGTATCGGTTCTGACAACACTGTTGTACAAATGGAACACAGCACAGACAGTACAGATGAACCCCTACTGTAGTGACGCAGACGACTGACAACAGTGTTTTACAGTGGGAGTCCAACAGGTACAACAAGTGAACTGCAGACGAGACATTTGTACAAGTTTCATCTGAGAAAAAGGTTAGTAAATAAAAACAGAATGAACCAATGACTTCACACTGGTAAAGTCATGTGATGCTGAGGTTAGACACAGGGCGAGGGTTAGTGAGATGAGGTGTTAGTGTCAAACATCAACAGGGTCAAAAATGCAATACTAACTACAAACTAATACATGTAACAAATGAATTCAATTTTCAATTTTCAGATTTATGCCTTGCAATACGTAGCTCCACGTCCTCTCAGGGGGAGCGAGCCTTACTTTGGGAACGATCAGCACAGATGTGCCAAAAATAGCAAAAAGAATAAAAAGAAGATTGCTAGTTGTTTTTAGCAATACTATTTACTCTCTGACCCCGGTTCTGATACAGGACATAGATGTGAATATGTGAGAGAAGGACAACAAGGATGAAGGTGAAGAGACCATAAAGACCACACCTGGAGAAAAACATACACACATCACAGAAGAACAAACACACACGCACACAGGCACACACTTACAGTGTGATGGTGGATAACTCTGACATCCTGCACGAATGCTGAACAGCCTGTGTGGGCTCACTGAAGCATTTCTGAGCACAGCTGCTACACAGCACAAAAGACAGTACAACAATACAACAAAGACTGGTCTTTAGGGACACAGACGCACATAATCTGACACAACATACACACGCACGCACGCACACACATGCACACCTTCACACTCGGTCAGGCATGTACACGTGTAAGCAAAAGATGACATTTACTTTATCCACGGGGCGTTTAAATAACACTGCTCTGTGGGAACAGAGGAGACGTGAACTCATCGTCACTACATTTGTAGTTAACAGGATACAAGTCGGACAGAGCGAGTGAATGCAGAGATTTTGGGGGTTAAAAAATTTTAAAAAAAGAAAGAAAAATGAAGCGAAATAACATAATACGTACAATGAGCTAATTAGCCTAAAAGGCTAATTCAATTTCATTTGAACAAAGAACAGAGATATATATTTAGCAATAGTGTTGCTTTTAGTAATATATATCACATCTGGACGGCCATTTTACTGTGTACACCTGTTTGAACTCTTTGTCAAGTAAATCATTCTGTGTAAAATTAGTTATTTTGTAAAAAAAAAAGTGGCAACATTTAAAGTACAAGGTCGTTATTTGAAAACGATTTCATCAACAGGTTGATGTTTAGCCAATTATATCACTAAAATGTAACATACACGGTCTGGCTGTGGTCGATCTGTAGGTCGAGGGTTTTAAGTACTTTGACAGATCGTTACTACAAGGGAATTTAGCCAGAAGAGAAGGTAAAACTTGATCCTGGTTATTAGATTAAAAACATCACATTATATACCGAGGCACACACTGGCTGTCACACACACACACACACTGACGCACCTAAAACAAGTGTGACACAGCTCAGACCTTTGTCTGTTACTTACAGATAAATGCTTGATTCGTTCCCTCCGATGTCAGGTGACTGCAGCTTCTGCACCAGGATTATTATAATTCCAATGAAGAGGACGAAATTAATCTGAGGGGGGAAAAAAATAACAAAAACAAAACAAAAAAACCCCAGTTTTAAACCGTTTCAAGTCGAGTTATATTGATTGTAGAAATTGATAACCAAGAAAGTCATCAGTGTCGTATCTTACCATGATAGAGGCCACAACAGGTCCCTTGATCACCCACCAGAGGGCAGTGTGCTCGTTTGTATCCCAGCATCTGCAACGCAATGGAGACAGAGGCAATTTTGGTGTTGGTTGTGTTATGTATTGTGATTTCACTCACAGACTGTTGTGTAATAAGAGTCAATCAAACAGGTATAAGTGAAGTTACAAATAAATATAAATAAATCAGAAGCAGAGAGAATCTGTTGCCAATAAAGCAGCTGAGACTCACCCTGTGTTGTGGAAATGAAGTCTCAGAACAGCCCAGACAGTCACACAAACGGTGGGAGTCCCTGTCATGGTCACAGACAGAACATTTGACATACAGTATTTATATTTGATTTTGAATATAAACATTGCAACAGTTCATTGAAATAACAAAATATCCAGTGGAGATCAGATGAAACTACAACACTGGTAAAATACAGTA